ATAAACTGGAGCCTGTTTAAAATCAGTCAGAAAACCCCAACTGATTTCAGTGTATGCAGGCACGCTCAGTGACATGCAGTGTGTATGAGCAATGTCTGAGGAATTCATTACATTTTTCCCACTATGAGAGGAAGAGGATGTATTGGGCAATGGTGGCATTTCTAGGAAATAGGAGTTTAGTCAGAGTGTGAGATTTCAGATAAAAGAATGGAAAGGAATGCAGAGTTGGAGCAGCCTAGTAGTAAATTACCTTTGCATGTTTCCTTCCATCTTTGTCTGTGATCTGTGCGTAGCACCAGGCATTGTCCTTAGCCACATGAAGAAGCATGTGGCGTCATCTCAAGCTTTTGTCAATGCTGTGGTGTGGCTTTATAGGCAGGAAGCCCGGTAAGAACAGTGCAGTCGGCACCTTCCCTGAGAGACTACCCAAACCCTCCTGAGTTGTGCAGTCCCCAGCTGCCAGCTGGGGAGTAAGTCTTTATTTGACTCTTGCAGTTGGCAGTCAGAAGAATGGCTGTCAAACAAAATGGGATTATCTTTGGGGAATATGGATTTAACTAGCCCATGTGCAAAGCGAGAGAGTTTGAAGCTGCCAAATCATACAGTAGTGAAAACCTTTAAGTATCTCGAGTTGCATAACAACCTTTTATAACATAATGCTTGGACCGGAAAAAAGAATCTAAAATAAAAGTAATAAACTATTGTGACTTTTGTTTTGTGCCAATGGATTTATGGCATCGTAGCCTTCAACATAACATCTGTGTGTGCTGCCATTTGCCCTTTTAGTATTTTTCCAGCACCCCATAGGAAGAGGCACTTTGCAATTACTGGAAATGACAAATGGCATCCTTTATTTTTGGAAAGGATGTAAAACTGGAGAGGTCCAGCCCATTGCCTAAAATGCATTCAGTCAGCTGAGAATTTGCCTTGTTCATGCAAACACAGAGGGGCTCTAGATCTTCTCAAATGTAAAGCAAGGACAGTGGCCATCCTGTTTCGCTGGTAGAGCTTCACACCATTTCCTTTCACTGTGTCTACATACTAGCATTGGGGGGAGTATGGTAGGAAGCAGCATAAGAAATTACCTTCCATTTAAAAAACAATCAGTTGTTTGCAGGTAGCACAAAGAAGTATTGTCCCCTAGTGTGTTACTCTCCCTAAGATTATTTTACGAGGAGGTAAAACCTCTCTACAGTACATGTGCTCACCAATAGGCTGTTACCTGTATTCATCTTTTTTGTACAATAAAATAAGAGAACTATCGTCAGTGTAAGCTTTTGTCTTCTTCCAATTGAACACTTGATATTAGCTTTCAGGAAGAGAATTTATTTTGCTAAAATATGTCAGGTTACAGTGGTTTGAAATATTAAAAATCTGAGGTTTCTGACAGGAAATGTAGGGCCACAAAAAATTCACATCCTTAAAAGTAAATGGCCTGAAAGTTGAAGCCCAAAGTCAGAAGTGGGTACTTCATGTATGACAAGCACCTCACCTAATATGAACTGATAAAATGTTGAAATCTGGGACCCCTTCTCAGTGCCTTATGTAGTGTCTCTTAGCTGGTATCTTGTAATCATCTTTAATGGAATTTTAGTTCCCTGTTTTATTGTACTGATACTTATTTATGTTGCTGTCAACTGTTTAGAATTGATGAATGGTCAGTTCACATGAGCGGGTACTGTGTTTCTTGAAAATTCCAGTGTGGGGATGTTACACCGAAAAATCTGGTGAAAAGTATGAATGAAGAAGCTACACTTTTATTATAGTAGGTCTGGTTTTGTAGCTGGAGATAAATATTCGTTCATTGCCTAGGAGAGAGCATTCTGTTCAGGTGGGCCAAATTCATCATGCAGTTCAAACCATCTTCTAGATCAATCTGTGATTATCATCATATTTTTTTCATATACAAACTTTCTCAGCAAAAATGTAGTTTTCCTGAGTTGTCACGAGAGTGACAACTAAGAAAATTCAGCAGGACGCATGCAGATGCATAAGTGAACTTATTAGAAATGCCTCTTTCAATGGCAGGTTTTTCATTTACCTTTTTCATATCTGTCAATGAGCCATCTTTTAATGAATTAATTTTTCAAACTGATAATGTGCCAGTTGAGTCAGATGCAGGTCTTAACTAATAAGGCAGTTTGGAGTAATTAAGTGTGTGAGCTCTATTACCTTTGTCAGCCAGTCCTGCGAGCATGGCAGAATTTATATAAAATCTTCTTGACAAGGTCTTTTTCCCACAGAAATATGTTGCCTGGTATTGATTATTTCCATTGCTTTTTTACAATTGCTTTTAATAATTCTGTTTTTATAATCTTGCCCTAGAGCAGTGTCAACCTGCAGTGAGTATAATAGCCTTGTTTACCCTTTTGCAAGTAGTAACAGCATCTAATCGTTTTCTTATCTACTCTGCAGGTCTTACTCATACACCAAGAGTGTCACATATATCTGTGTATGGCATAACAGCATGAGACTGGATGATTGCATTATGATTTCTAGGCATCCTTCTAACCATAAAATTATTATGCAAAAAAGATGTATGTCCAGTAGAAAAGCTGTTATAATCAGGCAGTGAAAATAAGTTTTACCAACAGTAAAAGCCACTGATGATTAGTGTTTATTTTTTAAGCCACTTTGCTTATTTGACCTCCTGCGAATGGCAGTATAAATAGGAAATTGAGGAGTATACATGCATTATTGTTCCAAGAAGTGCTTTCTCTGTGAGTTCAGCTATTCTGCATAAATTCAATATTCTGCAATGCATGAAGACCAGATAGGAATGTTCAAATATTTGGAGAAAGTACTGTATAGTATGTTTATAATGAAACATATCTTTTTCCTGTCCCATTTTTCTGCCATGATGGATGGCTTCCCCCTTCCTAAGTATTCTGTGGGTTTTATGTGTACAATAAATTTTCCTGGAACAGTACCCATATGCTGAAATGGAAATTGCAATAAATGTTCCAACAGTGTTTTGAGAAACATGAGTTCCCCTTAAGAAGGGAACCTACACCTGCAAAAATACCCACTTAACCAGAAAGCACCCTACATCAATCTTCAGTGTCAGCTCTTTCCTCAGCTTGATGGGAATTCTCAGCCTTGAGAATTCAGAGCACTTTGCATTCTGGGCTTGGTCCTTCCTGGAACGGGTGTAGAACCAAAATCATTTAGACTTTCCAGAAAGCAATAATATTACAAAAACTGGTGCCAGGTGAGCTATATATGAATTGTACTGTAGTTTTTATTTTCATTTATAGATATTTTCAGATAATCTATAGTGAGGAGAAGTGTTTGGGACAACAATAAATCAAGGGTGCTAACATGATGTAGGGAGTTATCTACATGTCTAAACATAGGCATATAGTACTATTTGAGACTGTAAGGTAACCAAGATAACTAATGAAGGTACAAGGTACGATACAGTACCTATAGAAGACCCAAGCCATCCGAAGCTGCAACTGAGTCCACATAGGATCCTGAAACCTGTAGTGCTGCTTTCTTAAGTTTAAGGAGTTCTGTTTTTCTCAAACTAGATTAAAATGGGTTGACCTAGGAAGAAACATGTTATTCTCTAGGAAACAAGAAATAATAGTGTGTGATCTCAGACAAAACAAAAATGTGGATTGTGGTTATGTCTAAGAGCAGTTAAATGACACGAATATTGGCATGAAAAACACTTTATTGGCAAATGACTAGGAGAGATGAACATACTAGCAAGTAGCTAGCAGAAAGAAATCTCAGCTGAAATTCAATATTAACAAAAAGCAAGGGGAAAATAGATTGCATTTTAAACTATAACACAGTCAGCTATATTAAGGTCTGTATCACATTAAAAGTACTGTTATATTCAGTGAGAGCTCAATATTACTTGTGCCACTATACAGATTTGCTCTTAGTCCTCTTATTTATAGTGACCTGCTGGGCATCATACTTATTTTTACCACCCTAGTAATGTGGATGTTTCATTTCTATTTTATCTTCTCTGAATTGTGGCCATCCACATTTCATTGCATAAATCCTTTAACTTCTTTATAGAGAAAAAGTGTTTCTTTTCTGATAGTATCAAAGACTATCACTGACAAAGGTGCCAGAATGCTTCTAGACTGGGGAAGTCCTGAGTGTGATATGTCTGTATTCTGGTTTTATTAATCTTTCACACACTGAAAAAGGAAATTAAGTTAATGGAAAATATGTGATATGACAGTAGTTGTTGCTATAATAATAATATCATGCATACAAAGAATGTTACTGAGGAAATTATTACATACTATTTTTGAAAGACTGTCACTGTAATACCTTTTTTCCCAAAGCAAAAAACAATGATGCAGTATTGCTCTTTCAAAAAAAAAAAAAAAAAAAGGGAAAAAAAAAGAAAGACTTTCTTTTACAGTAGTTATTTGAAACTTTAACTTGGTTATGAATTCATTTTAGTACAAATTTAACAGGAAGAATAAACTCATATCATCTCTGAAAACCTAACATTCTATTTAAATTCTGACTTCACAGCCAAGAAATGCTTAGTCCTTTTAGTAGTTGTTGATATGATTTTTTAACCTGTTGTTTATGTAATATATATAATTAAATCACAAGGGCAGTTGTAAATAACTGCTACATATAAGTGAATTATAAAGGGGCCTTGGTAAAGGACTCCACTCTAACACCAATTCCCACTTATATTATTTGGATATTTCAGTAAGTTTAATGACTAGTTTGAATCTCATCCTGATTCACCCTCAGGGATGTAAATTTTATTTTATTTCCTGATTCTTCAAACTGAGAGGCAGTCAAATATATGTGAATATCCATACTTAAAATGCAGGGCAGTGTAAAATCTGCCCTTATGTATGAGCTTGCAGGACCTGACATATACCAAAATCACACAAATGAATAAAATTATATCTTCATGTGGGCATACTCCATGTTTCTTCTTGTTTATTCAAACAGCTTTTCCTCATTAAAAGTGAACATTTAGTCAGTCATTTTTATTAATTTTCCTGTAGGAGGTCTCCAACATCTACTTGCTATAAAGAAGACCAGATGAAAGATATCCTAGAATTAGGTAAGTTATGCCAAGCTTCAGTTTGGCTTTTACTGTCTTATTCCTCAGAACAGCTGTAGCCAAATACATAAGTCGCTTCTTTTGTAACTTTTAGTTGATTAAGAGAAACACAAGAAAGTGTTAATTCTCATATTTGTGACCTCCTGGCACTGAGCCTGCTGGGGGAAGCAATTTTTCTAATCCAACACATTATATGATTTTTTTTTTCTTTCAGTTGATGTTGAGGCTGAAGAAACAACTGGAGAAGTTATTAAAAACCCAGATCTTTCAACACTGTATATGCTCCAAGTAGTATCAAAGGCAATTGATATTTCTCTTGCAAAAGTAAGACTAATAATGATTGTAAATACAAATAGAAGTGTGAGAATGTTATTTCAGCTGAGTTAGTCAAACCTGCAACAGATTACTCTGTGCTGCATGTTCATGTGTCATTTAACATGTGCTGTATTCATTCCTGACTATGTTCCTTATTTGGCATTCAGGACTAAAAATAATGTAGGGGTGACATTTAAACTCAGAAAAATACCAGAAGAGCATACCAGAATGGATCAGCCCACTTGAAGTACAGATAATAGCTTTAATTAAAGAAGCTTGCATTGTCTTATTAATGCCCGTAGTCAAATATTTATGTGCTTATCATCCAGTCCTTTTAACTGACAGTAGTTCAGAAGAAGTTTATTATTCCTCTATCACTGTTTCTCCCTTGCTTATCTTCCTTATTTTGAGCAGAGATGCAACCGTTATTACTTTTAATACTTTCCTTCCAGTTCAGACAGAGGAGAGAAAAAAACTCAGATTAAAAATAAGGAGGGTGCCTTCCAATTTCTTTGCTAGATCAAAGAAGCCCGAGTAACTGTACAAACACTGAATAGTCTGTGCTTATGTACTCAGCTTTACTTTAACATGAATGCAATTTATTCAGTTTAGCTATTCCTCAGTAGTAGTGGTCTGAAGGTTTTCAGGCCAAGATCTTTATTTGGCATATGCTGATGTGCCATCTGACTACATCAGTCAAGCATTTGAGTAACATTTATTTTATACCAACAACTTTAACAGGCAAAACAGGATGCCTTTTCTCCATGCTGTGTCCAGTAGGGTCCTTTTTTCCTTAAGGTAACCATTAGTAGGGGTGGCTTTACTAGCTGTTAAACTTAAGGGAATATTCTGTAATGCTTCCATGTGAAACTGTACCCCAGACAATCTGCATAAAGAATTTCCTATGCTGAGCAGCACACAGCATTCTGAGTTGAAGGAATAGTGCAGGAAAAGGAAAAAATTGCTCCTTTTCATTTGAGTGTTACTATTTACAGTACGTATAAAACAGAAAAGGCTGGTTATAGTGAGTTAGTCATTAACCTTCCACACCCCTCCTTTACTTTCTACAAATTTCTGTAAGAAAACATACCTGTGATTTGGATTTTTTTTTAAATAAGAACTTTTTTCTTTTTTCTTTCTTTTTTTTTTAGGAGTTAAAAAATCTTTTGTTTGGCTCTAGTCTTTGTTGCTTCAGTGAAGAATGGAAAATACAGAATTTTACATTTAATAACATACCACAGTTAAAATATGGCATTGTGCAAAAAAAGGTACTGTAAATTACTTCCTTAAAGTGATCTTTGCTTTTTACACTGAGTTTACAAAGGCTGTGTGTTTCAGCAGTTAAAAAAAAAATAAAGGTCTTCTAAAGACTCTTCTCTTTCTTTGACTTCTCTGGTTATCACTGGATGATGTCACCTTGTCAAGTCTTGTTGGGAGACTTGAGATGGATGGAGTATTTCTGAGGGAATCTTAAATTAACTGCAGAAAGTGAGCGTGTGTGTGTGTATGACGAGGAGTTATTTGTAGGGATAAAGACAAGCCACTGCAGCTGAAAGCTAGTGGTGGTAAAAGAGTAAAAGGGCATAAATCAAGGGTCGAATTTAAGAGGAAAAGCATACATGGAGGTAATGTTTAACAAGCTTAAGATGGAGCTTGATCTGTCTCAGAATGGGGGGACATAGCGAGAATTGACTGCAGTTCCTGGGAAATCACAATGATATTTTTGCTTTTTAAAGATGTAGGAGTCAAAAGATGGGGGTCACATGATGGGGGCCACATCATTCCTAAAGTGAAAGGGAGCAAATGCTCCTGCGGTGTCACTGGGACCAGTATACTGGAACTGCTGGTAGGACCACCTCTTTTGCAGCCATGTTTCTGTAATTCTGGACTGCAGCCACAAGATGCCAGCTCCTCCATGAAATAAGGTTTTCATCAGTTCTAGGCATTATCTACCTAGTGGTAAAAAACCAGCAAGCGTTAATTTAAACTCCAGAAGGAACCATGGTAGTAATGTTCACTGGCCCATAGTAAATGTTACTCACTGGCCATTAAGTTCCCTACTATAAATTCCACAACAAGAATAGTAAATCAGTGTGTTTTGCTCAGATGTGCTTATTTCATATAGTTAATATATTCCTCTTCACTTTTAAATTAATTTCAGTTGAACAACTGTTTGATTCTCTTCTGCATTAAGTTACTGTGGTGCTATAAGATGTTTCGAAAGGTTCCTCTTTTTTCACCGAGAGGCTTTCCCTAGTGCACTGAAACCAACCTTGCTTTTTTCCTTAATGTATTTCAGATGATTCAGTCTTTAGTTACGTAAGTAATTATAGAGTTAGAGTGTGTGTAATATAAATGAGAAAATGGCAGGTATCAACAGCTATTTTATTATTATAGGACATTTATTTTCTAGGTTGCATACTGTGCATACTGCCTGTATCTGCAGGTCCCATTGCAGGTCTGATGCTCTACCTACGACAACCCGAGAAACAAAATCAAACCACAGACTCTCCAGGAAACTTGCTGGCTGGTTCATACTGTCTTATCATCATTGTTTTTCCCCAGTGAGGTAGCTGGCTAGTGCAAAGAGCTATACAAAACACCAAAATCTTTGGTTAGTGATTTAAGTGGGAACTTGAGAGGAGGCACAATGCTCAGAGGAGGTAAAAGAGCAAGGCATACTTTCACCCTTTGGAGAACAGGTTTGATATCTTTTGATTTCTCTTGGGGATGTTAATATAAGCTGTGCCTCAATAGGGATCACGAGATCTTTCATTTGTTTGCATAATCACAGAACAGATTTTAAAAAGACTTTCTTTGATGTTATAGATGTTTAGGCATTTTCAGGAAAAAATAGGTGGGAAAATCAATACCAGTTAGTAACACTGATTTTCATTGGCTTGCAAAAAAATGTAATAGAGTAAGAGAGGGCATGGCAAAGTCATGGATGAAAAGACAGATGAAAGAATAGCTTAAGACTGAATGGAAGGACATGGATGACAAAAGTTTTCATCAGCATAAAACAGCACAAACTGTTTTGCTCATGGAGTGTCCATTATTCCCCTCAGGGTGGCCCATGTGGAGTACTGGCTGCAGTTCAAGCTTGTGTCCTACAACGGCTTATTTTTGCAGACAGTAATAGGAATAAAGACATTCGGTAAGTCAGCAACTGACAACAGAAATATTTTCCATACATAAGTAGACTTTTTTTTTCTCTCCTGCAGCCATTCAGGAGCCTTTTGAGTTTGAACTTGTTGAACTTCTCTTTGAGAGGGAAAGTAGCTTATAATTTTCTTTTATTTACTTCCCTTTCAACTGCAGTAATTTAGAGGTTGATGTTTTATTTGTATAATTACTTGCTTGTGATTAACCCAAGAACCTCTTAAAAAATCCAACAGCTTGAATTGAGGCCAATGAAAATTATTTAACCTTGAGATCCCATGGAGATATAATTTCAAAGAAAATCTGTTGGGGGTTTGAAAGACCATGAAATTTATGCACTTTTTGACACTCAGAATGTCAAGGAGGGTGAAAAATGAAGCTTACAGCTATAATTTTTTTCTTACTACTGTGTTCAATCTTTCAGAGTTGAACTCCATAATAGAATTTGAATTTAAATACTGTGTATATATTTTCTACTTTAAAGAAACTTCATTAAATATTGCTGGTATCAAGGAAAATTGCTTGGACTGCTATAACATTAATGTACTTGTCACTTTGCTAAAGGAGCAGGGCTCATTCAATCAAATGCTAGAAAATAATGTCTAAAAAGTTTACTTTTATTGCCAGATTTCTCGTATTCACCTTTAGTTCTCAGTAAGAAATAAGGTCCATTACAAAACAAAAATCTCTAAGCTTTCCTGTGCTTACAGGCACAGTTTTTTGTACGGGTATAACAGTATTTTACTGGTTTATGCTGCCACCGCCTTGTATTATTTGTGGATAATACACTGACACCAATTTAGTCAGAAGAAAAGCTTTCAGGCTGAGATTGTTCATTACCTTGCAATGTGAAAATGTTCATCATGTATAAAAACTGGGCCTTAAGTATACACTTTTCTGCTTGGAAAGTGACAGGGTCTTTGTTGATTTTCCTTAGTTTCGTCTGACTGGCACTTAATGTAAATTAATTGTTTGGGTTTTTCATCAATAATGGAAAGAAACAGGCACCTGTAGAACTTCATTATTTGCCTTCAGCACCCAGCATGGGAAGTGACAACTAACCAAAGGATTATCAGGACCTATAGGATCAACACGTGTCCAGGTCCAGGAGTGCTGGTGGGTAGGCAGTTCTGGTACAAGCCAGCTAATAAACCATTAGGAATGTTTAAAACCAAGCTTAGAGTCTATTAAATAAATATTGAAAGTTTTAATGTTACTGCTGTTGCTAGTTATTAGTTTCACTGATGGCTTGTGGACCCCAAGACACAGGCTAAATAAGATGCTCTGAATTCATCACTTGAAAATTGCCCGTTCTTCGAACTCACCTAAAGGCAATTACCATAGGCTGACAAAAAGATAGTGTTAGTGGTATAATACGTGTGCAGAGAGTAATGTGAAGTTAATTCTACAACATTACGCAGTTTAGTTTTTTTCTTCTGTTCAATTCTTTCAGTACATCACATCTGTCTATAATTCATATCAAGAGCCTGCTGATGAGAGCACACTTTTTTAAAGTGCAAAAATTAGCTAGGAAAATTTTATTAGCCTAATACAGATTACAATGGGAGTGGACTTCAAGGCAGAATGAGGCTCTTGTCCACATAAAAGAAAACTCAGAAACTTCCATGCAAGAAAATCAACACATATTTAGATTTTAATGCTAAGGAATCTCCACAGAATTCACCAAAGAATGAATTTCTGATGTGAAAACCAAGAATTTGTTTCAGCATGGAGAACAGCTTTGATCATCCGCTCTGTGGTCCCTTTGAGTCTCAGGTCATCCTTAGTAAAAATAGAGATGTTAACCTCTTTCAACATTATTCAGTGATCGTAAATGTCATAGAATTATGCAGCACCCAGATAAGTTGCCTGAGGCCAGATTGTTTAAACTATAAGTGTCCCAGCTCCTGCCAGCTACAACTGATCCTGTTTACATGGCAATATTTGCCTCTCCTATTTCCCCCCCTGCTATTATATACACAGTTTTAAAAGATTTTGCTTTATTCCTGAGATAAAAGTTTTTCTTATGATATGTTTGCCATAGGCAGAAACTTAGGCATTCAGAAAGAGAAGTCTCAGAGCTTGAAATGAGAGGATTAATATTCCTTTCTAATTCTTACCTGAATTTTCACATTACGAACAACTTTACAGTAAGTGTTTGACTTCAGGCTTCTTCAACAGTCAAGAAATAATTACCATGTCTCCTTACTCTGCTACGTCTCTCAGACAAATTAGTTGCTATGCTTCCCATAAATTTCTGAGTGTCTGCATTAGAACACAGGCAGAGATTAGAGAACATTGTGATTTTATTTTTTGTATTTGAAAACTCTCACCAATTATTTCCCATATCTCACACCCTTCAGAAGGAAACATTCTCTAAATGAACATTATATTCAAGGCAGACATTGAACTTGAAAGTCTGTTTAATTTTTTGATGTTTGGTGTTCCTTGTTTAGTCTTTCAGATTATTAGATCTTTTACTCAAATGCTGGGAACAGGTTTTGACATAATCTCCCATGCTGGTAACACTCTAAGACTGATATTATCTGAATTTCAAAGACTGCCATTCTTGAAGCCACTAGAGAACATTCCAATTCGGTGTCTCCCAGGGGCATAGATCTGTTGTTCATTTCTTCAGGCTTGGATGTTGGGTTTTATTCTTAAATATTCCAGTTTTCCATTATGTGACTTGTTTATGTGACTGTTCAACACACAGGGTTTTATTGAGTGGGCCATCCCAGTTGTCTCTTTCTTGACTATAGAAGGAACTGACATACCTAAACTGTTATTTTCTGGGGGAACTTGCTGGAACCTCATGATTAGACATTACAACGCCTAGTCTCTAAAATAATGCTTTTCTTCATTTAACTACAAGTATACTATGAATCTGTGTATATTGTAATTGGGTAGTTTGCCCTCTAATGAGTAAGCTTTCCAACACACATTTTGGTACTTGACTGCCTCTTGTAATTTCTGGACTATAGTTGTCTTCAACCATCAGAAGTTCATAGGACCAAATGCCTCACCATGGCAATTGCAGACATACTGTGGCGTGCAGGAGGCAACGAGAAAGCAATTGTAGCACTGTAAGTAGGGAAAGCAGTTTTAATTATTGACTAATGCTCCTACACTTGTGTCTGTTATATATGTACAGAGTTTATAAAATGAAAGTTTTGTAAGTTGTATTTATGCAGTCTAAAATGGTTAGGGAGAAATGCAAAATGTCATTTCTGCTGTCCCAGTAACTGGAACAGAATAGTCAAATTCTTTATAATTACTGTGAAAGATCCTGTGGATTTCGTTGATGCTTAGGATTCCTCCACATCTTTACCTGATTTTTCCAGATGCAGCATTTTGCTCCCAACAGTTTTGTATTGCAGTATATTCTATTATGGGTGGAATTACTTTCTTTATGCTGTAGATGCCTACTGGTAACTTAGTTTATGCTATGCAATTCGGTTCCTAGTACACAAGACATCTAACTTTTAGATTGCTAGCTTTGGCTGTACTGGATCCTGCACAATACTTTTAAGTGAGACAGGTTTTGTGAAACTAGGTGATTTCTTCTATTAAATCAACGAAGATAGCCGTAAAATAACAGAGAAGCTTTTTCTTCCTCAAACCTGAAATAGAAGCAGCAAATTCAAAGACATTTCGAATGATATTTTGCATATTTCACATTTATAAAATGTTTCCTCTGTGATGATATTGTACATATATTCTTGTGCTTGTTTTAATGTCACTGCTGTAATATTTGTTTCCAATAAAAACTCATTAACATCTTAAACATACATTTCTAGTCTTTCTGTATAAGCATATTGAATATACTGAGAGAGCTCAGCACTGCTAAAGAATATGCTTAATTGATAAAAGTTTGTTTAATATATAATATGAACTCATGTAAGAGGTTCTTTTTTAAAAAAGTGGTTAAAATGATAATACAAAATCTTTGGCTCATTTTTCAGTTCATATAATAATATGCTGATTTCTCTTTAATACCATTTTGTTCCTTTTAATATGAACTTTGGTTTTGTCTGAATATCCTCTTCAGGCCATCAGGAAGACAGCAGTTCATTCCCATAGGAAAATACAAGGCAGATGGAATCTTAGAAACTGTAAGGCTCTGTGTTACTCAGAGTAATATTCTCCATATCCTCTTTCTACTTTTTCTTATTTTAGTGCAATGAATCTGATTTCCATTGCTCCCTTAGTGTTTTAAAATATTTTATGTCAAATTAGTTGAGATCCAAAACCCAATAGGAGATAGCAAAATCCTGTAGTCTGTCTGGCTTTGAATTGTCCCAGTGTCTTCAGGCAGTTTGGACTCCCTGAAGTCCTTTTTGTACCCTGTATCTTTCAAACTTATAAACTTGCTTACTTTTATTGATATGCAGTAAAAGTGTGGATCCTTTCAAGTTCACCACTATGGCCATGAGCATCAAAAGGCAGTATATTCTCCTTTGCCTTTTTTTTTTTTTTTTTAAATTCCAGAAGCTCCAAATGGCAAAACACTCTCCGGTTATGCCTTGTTTCCATCTGAAGCTCTCAAATGGAGTTGCAAATGGTGATGCCAAAAGCCAGGCTTTAGTGGTTTAAGAAAGTATTACTGGCCTCCTAAATGGAGGAATGAATGTGTGAACACCTTGTCAGAACCGGATAATTTTGGAGCAGTTGGAAGTGAAGTCTTTTATAAGTAGGGTGAATGCAGCAGAAATCCTTTGCTATAAAATGCTCTTCCAAGAGGCAAGTTAAATTATTTAATTAATATGTTAACATAATTCTATGCTGCTGGCTATTCCGGAGAGCAACTAACACCATTATGCTGTCTTTAAGTCCTGCTTATCAAATATCATGTGGACATAGCCACAGTGAAAATGTGATGGAAAGCAATATATTCCAGACTGCTCAATCTTTCCGCATACATTATCTGCAAGACCATAATTTCTGTCCAAATCTGAAGATGGAAAAATAGACAAAGAATATTGAAGTAAGGGCCTGGATCTATGAACTGACCTGAACTTCATGTTAAATAGGAGTATTCATGGGAGTATTCTCTGAGTATGTGTTCTGATACGTGCCTGCTATAAATGGCTCGCCACATAGGTACCAACTCCTGAGCTACTTGCCCTTTCTGTCTTCTAAAGCTGCAGTATTCCTATGTTCTAGGAATCGTTTTTCATTGCATAAACAATCCTTAAAGTTGAATCAAAGTGTCTGTTCAAAAAACTTAAAAACAACAAGAAGCAGTATAAAAATTCAGAACATACAAAGCGATGAGATACAATATTATACAAGATAACAACAGGAAAAGGTAGATTTCATTAGATCTTTGCTCCATTTTGTTAGCTCAAATATTTCCATTCAGATTTAAAGTTTTGTCTACTGTAGTTCAGCTTTCAGGTTATAAAAGTGAGTTGCAATTGTTTCAGTTACTTTTTTTTTTTTTTTCCTTCCCAGCTAATACTACATAGTGCCACAAGATACGAGGATCTGGTTGTTTTTCTTCAGCAGAATATTCACCAGGTACTGTATAGAAAAGACACTAAACCTGTTATAGTTCAACTGCCAGTCTTTCTGTATTTGTCAGTCTCGTGTCTCCTGAACATTGTTTCAAACACTATAGGGACATGTATTTTAACAAACAGAACATCAAATTCAGTTTTAGATAAATGAGAACAATTCTTTCTGCTTTCAGTTTGATTTGCATATCTTTAAAATAGAGCAAAAAAATGTACTCAACAAACAAAATAAAACTAGCCTTTTTCTTTTTCAGTTTGAAACTGGTCCCTGGGGGTGTATCCTTCTGACTGTGTCTGTCATCTTATCAAGATCTATCAATCTGTGAGTGTCTTTGTATCCCTGTTTTATTAATTTCAAAGTAAACAAGCTGTGCAAAGTGAGAAAGTAGCCGTAATGTACTTAACTCTCTGGCCTTTTTGATCTATCATGATGTTTACTCTGATAAATATAGGGGAGTAGAACAGATTTACTTTTTTTTATACACAAGACACATGTTATATTTATATATATATATATATATATATAATAAATGCTGTTAAAATGGCAGCGATCACTCCACCATACCTGATACAAAGGACTTAATCTAAACATTATGCATCATGTGTGAGGTAGCTGCCTATACTCCCAGTCTTGACAGTTGAAAACAAGACTGTTTTAGAGGGTTATTTATTTCACATACTTTAGGTATCTGTCTTAGGTAGAGATGAATAACTTGCTTGTAATGCCCAATCTCTCCATCAATGATAATGATAAAGAATGGCTCATATACAAAGGATTGGACATCTGATTTTTAGGTGGTTATAAGTAATGTACAACAAATTGGTCTCAGTTTATGAGTGTAATAAATATGCAGAACTCTAAGGAGTAGTCAGTACAGGCTCTTTTAAAAACTCATTGAGATTTGCCAAAGCACAGTTGCAATTCATTTCATTTATACAAATTAAGTGTATTTCAGTGGTACTGTGAATAGCAGAGTGGGTCAGAATAAAAATGCTTTCTTCATTTTGTCAAATTTCACTTTTGTAAAAATCTCCTAGAGTTATCTACAAGTGAAAAGAACTGTTTCCTGACAACTTGCAATAACAACTGACATGAAGAGAGCAGCTGCACTTGAAAGCAGCATGGGGTTTGTTTATGTAATCTTTTGTTTGCATCTCTGCATTGTCTTGAAAATAAATAGCAACATAGTCCAAATTTGTTATATGCATTATGTTGCTCACCTACTGAGATTCCTACAAGCATTTACAGGTTGGATTTTTTTGCTGTTTTGTTGTTATTTCTTCCTTCCTTTCTCTTACAGTAACACTACAGGCCATAGGCACTCTAACACAAGTTATATGAGAATTTTGTAGCATATGTCATTTATTCTTGTTTTTATGGTCTAGTTAGCAGCAGAAAGGTCCAGATAAGTAAAGGTATTTGAGCAAGAATGGTATATTGGGTAGAATCACCAAAAGCAGCAATGTTCCTAATTGCTCTTGATTGCATTTCTTTACTTTCTGTAAAACGGTAAATGTACTTTAATAATATAAGCATGGAGGTTATATTTTACACCACCTTTCAATTCTGGACAGATGGGTTATGACAAGCTAATCAATCATCTTTGTTTGTATTTGGGGGGACCTAAGTGACTAAAGGGAACATGAAAATTCCTTGTGGTGCTTCTTCGCATTTTTAGGTATCTAAATATTTTTACAGTTCTGGTCCACAGTGTTAAAATTGTTTATAAAATGTAGCTCTGTTTTGAGGAAGATTCATGAGTTTATCACACAACTTCATTTTAACTTGATACTGTGTAATACATTGCATTGATACCTATCTTTTGTTTATAAGAAAAAGCGGTTTTTATGTGTCACTAGATACAGTGGAATGTGTTTCTAGACCTTCGCATAATATTTTTTAGAAGTGCAAACTAAATTTTGTTTATGTAATTTTCAGCAATAGATTTGAATGGCTATGTCATAGTGCTTCTCTTACAATATTACAAGTATCAAGTCAAATAACTCATTGCTCATATCACCAAGAAATATGTACCGTTTAGTGAGTGTTAGAAGCATTGTAAGTAATTATTTACATAACTGGCATAGTACTGGATGAATAGTTAGAGACAAATAAGAGTTGGTTTGGGTAATGGAATTTTTATCCAGTAATAGATCTCCCTGGAATTTTATTTTTTTTGGTCATGTTTTTTTAAGATAAAATTAGTGTTTTGTTTTATTTTTAAAGAGATAAAATTTAATGGCAGTTTAAATTGTCCTGATTTTTGTGTGCATATTCTATTGAACATGCTAGATTAGTTAATTTTAGTTGAGACGCTGACGTATCTTAATTTGTCAAATAATGTTGAAATGCTTCTGTTTTGGTCAGTGCTTCGCTATGTGCCCACAGTGCTGCCTCACTGAGGTCCCTTTGTAAATAACTCTTCCATAAATAATTGGCATTTCTTGTAAGCAAGTTGAACACTAGGGATGGGAGTGTCTTGAACCGTGGTTATAATTAAAACAACATTGTGTAAGATGCAGAGGTTAGTCCACTGAAGCCAAACCAAAGCATTTACATTTGGTTCAACAAAGACTGGCATTTTGATTAACAAATTTTGAAATATTTCTTTCAATCAAAAATATTCTCCGTAATGTTTTCTGTTCCATGAATAATTCCAGTGTTTATTGAAGCTTTCACTTCAGGATATAATAAGAAGAAAATAATAATTCCTTATTTTATATGGTGGGGAAGCATTAATACAAGTTAAAAGGCAGAGCAGTGAATGTGGACTAAGTGGTGAGGTTGATTAATAGAAGGATGTGTCACTGTATGAAGCCCTGTGCAGTTCAACTCATCCAGAAGTGAACTAGAATGAGTACAGGATAATGAGACCACAAAGCTTACAGACTTCCTCCAAGAAGTCACATCTGTGTACATATGCTTCCCATGTTTATAACAGATGGAAGATGGCATGCAGTTGTGACCATGCCACATAACTTGGGAGTGATACCTGTGGTAGTTGGTGTGGTTCAGAATGATCCAGACCTGTTAGCACCTTCTTAAATCTGTGACTAAATTCTAGCAGTTCAGAAGGATCTCATTGTGCTAATAATGGAGTAATATCATTTAAATTTAGCCTTCTATAAATTATGCCAAGTCTCAGTCCTCTGCTCTCTCTGTGTTCAGTGAAACGAGGGAAGCTTCTCTAAGAGAGTCATTTCACATGAAAGTAAATGTCAAGAAAGGTGAGGAGAATTGCTATGGACAGTGCCTATTTTATTTTTTTTAAATTATTATTTTGCAAGGAGAACTACTAGCTAAGACTTCTTAAATGTTTGCTATTTTCAGGGTAATGATCTATCTTATTTTTATTTACTTTTTGTGGAAATATTTGCATCTAGGCTTCCTTTATGCTCAAAAAAGAGGCAAAGATTATGATTTATTTGACTTATTTTGAGTGTTTAGCTTAGAATGATATAAATCATCTCCTGAAATGCTTACTTCTCTCCCCTATATAAAAAGGAAATTTGAATAACTTACTTTTATGGAGGCTTTGCACTGTGAAGTGCATCATCAAGTGGTGAAATTAATTCTGCCTTAGAATTGGTTAGAACTGGCTGAGAAAATGGTAGATGAAATTAATTACTAATAATGTAGATTATTATACATGATGAAAACACAGTCTCAGCTGTACTTACCTAGTGATGGGCTTTAAACAGACTATTATAAAAAAGGAGACAGATTCCGGCACTGTTCCTGCTGCTTTAATTACCTGAGGATATCAGTTCAATTTTCTATGATAGACAAAAAAGAAAAAAATGTATTGGGAGTTATGGTGATACGAAAGGAAGACAAAATAAAAACATGGTAAAGTGTTTGTATTAACATATGGTCTTCTCATGTCTTCATCTGGCATCTAGTCTTATCTCCCCAGGTCAGTAAAAACACATTAGAACTAGAAGACACTGGAAGACAAAATTTCCTTTTAATGTGGACTAGCTTTGATGTGAGGACAGTTGGAATCTTTCCTTTTTGGCATTAAAGAGGGCTAACTTGGATGTGATAAATATTTAGGCATCCATGAAAACATTGACTAAGGAATGATTATACATTATTTCTCAGGGTTCAAAACCTTGGATATTGTAATGGAAAAAACAAACCACTTTTTTTTTTTTTTTTATCACAGCATAAGTAATTTTCACTACTGGGAGATGAGGAGGCAAAAAGTATGCAGAGGGTCAAATGAATTTAGGCAAATTACTGGAATGTACATGCTTAGGTACTTTTAAATGCTCCTGTCTAGATGTCATCTCCATGTGCCCTGTTTTTGTGTTCTGCCCTGATGTTTGCTACTGCTGCTGCTGACTGGATGCTGGGATAGGGTGACTTTTGGTCTGGCTCCATAATTTTTACGTTATTACTGATTATTCTTGTAAATGGAAATTCCACATTTCATCCAGGTCTATCAGGCAGTTGTTCTAAATCACTGACAACCTACGTACTTTCATTTAATGAGAACGCATGCCAGGAAATGCAGGGGTTTGCGCTGCTTTGTAGATTTTGGTAATGAGTTTATCATGCTCCATGCACTAATGATCATTACTGGCAGAACTGATAACAAATGGCCAAAGAGGAGTGAGAATTCCTGAGGAAGTTGCTGAGAACGTGGTGTTGTTTCTGGTACAGGAAGGAGTGCTAGTCACTAACAATTGTAAACCCTTTTTTTTTTTCTTTTCCTTACAACCAGTGAAAAATTAAAAAATAGTGGGCATATTTTACTATGGGAACTAAGCTCAGGGAACTAACCTTCCTGAATGAGCAAAATGTGTACCAGAATGCTCATGTTAAGAGCTATAGCATATTTTCTGCGTACCTGGGAGAGTCTGAGCTTAAAGGTGGACTTCAAGCCCCCATGGGGCCTCACTGAGATTGGTACATTGCGTGTAGGAAGGTTATGAAAACTCAGGAGTGGTTTACACTTACACTGCTTCAGTAAACCCCACAGTCTTACTGAAGCTGCAACATGATCACCTCTAACACTTAGCACCTTCCTTACTATGCTTACTTATGCAAAACCATAGCTGTACTGGGTTGTGGCTAATTCTGATCCATTCATTGAAAAGCCTTTAAATTTCAGCTTCTTGCCAAAGAGTCACAGTGTTTGTTTTCATTGCCATATTTTTCTTAGTGCACTAACGTTATTGCATAAAACCATCATTACTAGAACTTACTATAACAAAGAACATACTGGGTGAGAAAATGTTTTAGGTCAAATTCCTTTGGGGAAAATCAATGTTCTGCAGTTTTCATGCTACCTGGAGACAATAAATAGAGGCACA